GACCCCTTTCTAAGCTCTCTGGCCAGCCTGTCCCTGTCAGAGTGCCCAGCCTGCGATGCCCATGGGCAGGACACCTCAGGGTCCACCAAACCTGAAGCTGCCTGCTCCCTTCCGCAGTGGTGGCGCTCCGAAGAGGCGCAGGACATGGGCCCGGGTCCTCCGGACCCCACGGGGCCGCCTCTCCACGTGAAGTCTGAGGACCAGCCCGGGGAGGAGGAGGACGATGAGAGGGACGCGGACGCCACCTGGGACCTGGATCTCCTCCTCACCAACTTCTCGGTCCCGGAGCCGGGTGGCTTGCCCCGGACCTGCGCTCAGGCGCCCAGCGAGGCCACCGGGGCGCAATACCCGCCGCCGTCCGAGACTCTGGGCACCTATGCGGGCCGCCCGGGGCTGGTGACTGGGCTCTTGGGTTCGGAGGATCACTCGGGTTGGGTGCGCCCTGCCCCGCGAGCCCCGGTCCCCGACGCCTTCGTGGGCCCAGCCCTGGCTCCAGCCCCGGTCCCCGAGCCCAAGGCACTGCAGCTGCAGCCGGTGTACCCGGGGCCCGGCGCGGGCTCCTCCGGCGGCTACTTCCCGCGGACTGGGCTTTCCATGCCTGCGGCGTCGGGCGCCCCCTACGGGCTGCTGTCCGGGTACCCTGCGGTGTACCAGGCTCCGCAGTACCAAGGGCACTTCCAGCTCTTCCGCGGGCTCCAGGCACCCGCTCCCGGTCCCGCCACGCCCCCTTCCTTCCTGAGTTGTCTGGGACCCGGGACCGTGGGCACTGGACTCGGGGGGACTGCAGGGGATCCAGGTGCGATAGCCGAATCAGCGCCATCCAAGCGCGGCCGACGTTCGTGGGCGCGCAAGAGGCAGGCAGCGCACACGTGCACGCACCCGGGATGTGGCAAGAGTTACACCAAAAGCTCCCACCTGAAGGCGCATCTGCGCACACACACAGGTGAGGGGGCGGGACACAGGCGCAGAGGCGGGGCTGGAGGTGGGGCCCCGGGGGAGCGGAGCCGGAAGCAAGGGGAGGGGCCAGAGTAAAAGACCAGATTCAGGGGGTAGACCTGTAACTCCAGAGGCGGGGCTAAAAGCAGTGTCTCAGAGCAAGGGGCGCGACAGAGGCTGCCCCTAGTGGGTCCGGCACCTCCTGGCCAGGGCCAGAGGACAGGACCCGGGTAGGGAAGGCAGATGGGCAGAGACAGGATCTGGGAAACCTGGGGAGCATTTCAAGGCTGGGGACTGACGAGTAAGACCTGGGCCGTGGATGGGTAGAGGAGCAGAAAGGACAAGTGGCCTAAGGGGCGGACTCGAGGAGGGACTGCAGGAAGCGAACAAGTGAAATGCCAGGGGCTGTGGAGCCATAACCCGGGGTTTTCCCAGGCACGAGGTTGCTGCTGCTTCTTTTCTTTTCTTTTCTTTTCTTTTTTTTCGAGAGAGAGTCTCCCTTTGTCGCCTAGGCTGGAGTGCAGTGGCGATCTCGGCTCACTGCAAACTCCGTCTCCCGGGTTCAAGAGATTCTTCTGCCTCACCCTCCCGAGTAGCTGGAATTACAGGCACGAGCCACCATGCCGGGCTAACTCTTTTTTTTTTTTTTTTTTGGTATTTTTAGTAGAGACGGGGTTTTACCATGTTGGCCAGGATGGTTTCCATCTCCTGACCTCGTGATCCACCTGCCTCTGCCTCCCAAAGTGCTGGGATTACAGCCATAAACCACTGCGCCCTGCAGAGATTGCCTCTTATATAGGCAGATCCAGACGTGGCAGGGGCACATCGGGGTGAGACCTAAGGGCAGAATCAGTATCAGGGGCCACTCAAAGAGGAAGGAGCCCGGATCAGGCACAGGGGCTTAAGCCTGCACTTTGAGAGGCACTCTCAGTGCTTTGGGAGGCCGAGGCGGAAGGACTGTTTGAGCCCAGGAGTTTGAGACCAGCCTGGGCATCATGGTGAGACCCTGTCTCTACAAAAGAAGAAAAAAAAGGGTAGGGACCCAGATGTAAATGGCTGGCTTGGGAAGGCAGGAGGAAGAGCTGGGAAACAGCAGAGGGGTGTGGCATGGAAGGAGAAGCCCAACCAACAGAAGATGAGGTGGGGCTAAGGAATGGAGGAGGGATGAGGACCGTGCCTAAAGGAGTCAGGACAGAGGATGGGGCCAGGTGTACAGACCCATATGGGGAGAGGAGAGGAAGAGGCCAGGCATAGCAGAGGGAGACAGTGTAATCACTGGGGACAGGATCTGGGGGACTGGAGTGAATTTCCAGGCTCAGCAACCAAGGTCACGGGCAAAGTTGAGCACTAACTGGGGAGACCCTTGGAACAAGGAATGGGCTAGAACACCACAGGGAGCAGAACCAAAACACAGGGAGCAGAACCAAAAAATAAGGGAGGGATGGCATTAACATTCAAAGCTGGGGCTGTGTGAGGTGGCTCACACCCGTAATCCCAGTACTTTGGGGGGTCCAGGTGGGTGGATCACCTGAGATTAGAAGTTCGAGACCAGTTTGGCCAATATGGTGAAATCCCATCTCTACTAAAAATACAAAAATTAACCAGGCATGGTGGCAGGCACCTGTAATTCCAGCTACTCAGGAGGCTGAGGCATGAGAATCGCTTGTACCCAGAAGGTAGAGGTTGCAGTGAGTCAATATTGTGCCACTGTACTCCAGCCTGGGTGACAAGAGCTAGACTCCATCTCAAAAAAAAAAAAAAAAAAAAAAGGCCAGGTGCAGTGGCTCACACCTGTAATCCCAGCACTTTCGGAGGCTGAGGCAGGTGAATCACCTAAGGTTAGGAGTTTGAGACTAGCCTGGGCAACATGGTGAAACCCTGTCTCTACTAAAAATACAAAAATTAGCCAGGCATGGTGGCATGAGCCTGTAATCCCAGCTACTCAGGAGACTGAGGCAGAAGAATCACTTGAACCCAAGAGGTGGAGGTTGCAGTGAGCCAAGATGAAGCCACTGCACTCACTCATGGGCGGTAGAGCGAGACTCCGTATCAAAAAATAAAACAAAAACAGATTCAAAGCTGGGTTACCAGGACACAGAAAGTTGGGCCAGTAGTGTAGGGAACTGGCTTGGGCTCAGGACGTGAGAAAGGGTGTGGCACCCAATGCAGTTACAGAAGAAGGGCTACAGAGGTCGGGACTTGGCCTTAGCCTCTGAGACTGAGTGCCTCCTTAAAGTTTGTGCCCTAGGGGCCTCGCTTTGCTCATCCTAGTCCCAGCCCAGGCTGAGTGAAAGGGTGTTGCCTGATGCAGGGGACCTGGGGACAGGACTGGGCTGACAATGGCACTTATGGCTTCCTTGTCCTCTAGGGGAGAAGCCATACGCCTGCACCTGGGAAGGTTGCGGCTGGAGGTTCGCGCGCTCGGACGAGCTGACCCGCCACTACCGGAAGCACACGGGGCAGCGCCCCTTCCGCTGCCAGCTCTGCCCACGTGCTTTTTCGCGCTCTGACCACCTGGCCTTGCACATGAAGCGTCACCTTTGAGCCCTACCCTGGCACTTGGACCCTCCTGGGGACTGGAGATGGGACAAGAGTGGATCAATGCTGGGTTGCTTTCCCAAGGACGGACCCTCACCTGGACTCCCGGTCCCACAGATCCACCAAATATCAAACACGAACCCATAGACAGCTCTCAGGGAGGCTCCTACAGAAACTCTGACAAGTCCTCAGCCACAGGAAGCCACACAGACATGTCTAAACTGTCATGCAGACCCAGCGAGACAGACTGCCAAACAAACTGACTCTGGACACTCAGACCAGCTCCCAGATGGCCCTGGACAGCAGGAGGGGGTGAGGGGTGAGGCTCCCCAGAGACGCTGGTCTAGAAAGGGGCTCCTGAAGGCCCCTTATAGTGGCTGACATTAACCCTCAATGGTTATGGGTCCTATAAAAATGCCCCTCCCAGGTAAAGCTTTAGCGTGGGCCTGAGTTTTTTGGTTTGGGGGGCTGAAAGATGGCAGGCGGCTGTAAACCTAGAGATCATATTAGAGGGCCTTACACACCCTCGTCTCCTAAACTACAGTGACACCCTCTCACCTCCAACAAGCCCCCTTGGGCACTGCAGGCCTTGCTGTCCACTCTTTTCCTGCCCAGTTCAGGCTACACCATGCTTGTCTATTGCCTTGAACTCCGCGGACATTGACAGCAAACATCTTCCCGAATTTAACAGTCCACATCCTGTGACTGGGTGGGGTGGCTCACACCTGTAATCCCAGCACTTTAAGGGGCCGAGGCAGGCAGATCACAAGGTCAGGAGATCAAGGCCATCCCAGCTAACATGGTGAAACTCCGTCCCTACTAAAAATACAAAAAATTAGCTGGGCGTGGTGGCATGGGACTGTAATCCCAGCTCCTTGGGAGGCTGGGGCAGGAGAATCACTTGAACCCAGGAAGCAAAGGTTGCAGTGAGCCAAGATCATGCCACTGCACTCCAGCCTGGACCACAGAGTAAGGCTTAGCCTAAAAAAAAAAATGGCTGGGTGAGGTGGCTCATGCCTGTAATCCCAGCACTTTGGAAGTCTGAGGCAGGCAGATCACGAGGTCACGTTATCGAGATCAGCCTGGTCAACATGGTGAAACCCCATCTCTACTAAAAATACAAAAATTAGCTGGGTGTGGTGGTGCGCACCTGTAGTCCCAGCAGGAGAATCACTTGAACCCAGGAGGTGGTTGCAGTGAGCTGAGATCGCGCCACTGCACTCTAGCCTGGCAACAGAACGAGACTCTGTCTCAAAATAATAATAATAATAATAATAATAATAATAATAATAAATAAAAATAACAAATGTCACAAGAGGTGGACTCAAGTTGTAGGGCTAGGAAAAAATTCAAACTTGTGTCTGGTCCAGAAACCGGGGCAGGAGTGGGTCGGACAGAAGAGCGTGGCCTGGGATTAGCTACAACGACAAGGAACGGTGGCCAGGCTGGAAGAGACCCCGGAGCGCCTGGCCCGTCGTGGGCGTGGTCCGAGCAGACCCGGGAATGCCTGTCCAAAGCGCAGCGTCGCGTCTCGGGGCGGAGTCTCTGCCCTCGTGATGTCCCCGCTGTGGTTCCTGGGCAAGTTTTGGGGAAATGAAAGCCGCTAGGGGCCAGGCCTGGCCTCTTTCGTAACCCAGCGCCCCGCAGTCCCGACACAGATTCCTGGACCTCAGCCCCATAGCGACAATGATCCCGCTGCTGCTGCTGGCCGCGCTGCTGTGCGTCCCCGCCGGGGCCCTGACCTGCTACGGGGACTCCGGGCAGCCTGTGGACTGGTGAGTGCGCAGGGGGGCACCTACCATTGTCCCGGGGTCCGGCGGGGGTCCCTCGACCGGATGGCTGCCTCCTCGGGGAAGCCTGGGGTACGTTCTCTTCCCACTCCCCGATTTCTGTGCATTCTCCGGCCTCCAGGTTCGTGGTCTACAAGCTGCCAGCTGCCAGCGGGTCCGGCGAGTCGGTGCAGAGCGGGCTGCGGTACAAGTATCTGGACGAGAGCTCCGGGGGCTGGCGGGAAGGCGGCGGACTCATCAACAGCTCGGTGGGGGCTGTGGGCCGAAGCCTGCAGCCGCTGTACCGGAGCAACCGCAGCCAGGTGAAGGGGCGCCGGGCCAACCAGGGGTGAGACTCCAGGGCGGCCCTGCCTGGGGAGGAATTTCACGTTGCCTCCGTTTATCCGCCCCCCAGCTCGCCTTCCTGCTCTACAATGACCAACCGCCTAAATCCAGCAAGGCTCACATCTCTTCCAACCATGGGCACACGAAGGGTGAGGCCTGGATTGGGGAGCTGGGGAGAGACTCGGGTTTCTTTCTTTCTTTCTCTCTTTCTCTTTCTTTTCTTTTCCTTTCTTTCTCTCTCTCTCTCTCTCTCTCTTTTTTTTTTTTTTTTCGTTAAGAAGGAGTCTCGCCCTGTCCCCAGGATGGAGTGCTGGAGTGCAGTGGTGTGATCTCGGCTCACAGCAACCTACATCTCCTGGGTTCAAGCAATTCTCCTGCCTCAGCCTCCCGAGTAGCTGGAACTACAGGCGGAGACTCGGGTTTCTATACATTTCCCCAGGCTAAGCCCTGACCTGCATGGGGTGAAGGGGGCAGATCTGTGCTATCAGACCCTGGGCATCCATTACTCACCAACCTTTTTTTTTTTTTTTTTTTTTTCGTTTTTTTGTTTTTGAGACGGAGTCTCCCTTTGTCACCCAAGCTGGAGTGCAGTGGCATAATCTTGACTCATTGCAATTTCTGCCTCGGGGGTTCAAGCAATTCTCCTGTCTCAGCCTCCTGAGTAGCTGGGATTACAGGCGCCTTCACACCTGGCTAATTTTTGTATTTTTAGTATAGATGAGGTTTCACCATGTTGGCCAGGCTGGTCTCAAACTCCTGACCTTGTCATCTACCCGCCTCCATCTCCCAAAGGGCTGGGATTACAGAGATGAGCCACCCTGCCCAGCTGGGTTCCTATACATTTCTCCAAGCGAACCCCTGACCTCCATGGCGGGTTGGGAGATCTGTCTTGTCAGACCACGGGCATCTAGTTCCCTTCTTTTCTTCTTTTTCCTCCCTCCTTCTCCTTCTCCTTCTCCTCCTCCTCCTCCTCCTCCTCCTCCTCCTGCTCCTGCTCCTCCTCCTCCTCCTCCTCCTCCTCCTCCTCCTTCTCCTCTTTTTTGAGACGGAGTTTCACTCTTGTTACCCAGGCTGGACTGCAATGGCACAATCTCGGCTCACAGCAACCTCCGCCTCCTGGGCTCAGGCAATTCTCCTGCCTCAGCCTCCTGAGTAGCTGGGATTACAGGCACATGCCACCATGCCCAGCTAATTTTTTTGTATTTTTAGTAGAGACGGGGTTTTCTTTTTTTTTTTTTTGAGACGGAGTTTCGCTCTTGTTACCCAGGCTGGAGTGCAATGGTGCGATCTCGGCTCACCGCAACCTCCGCCTCCTGGGTTCAGGCAATTCTCCTGCCTCAGCCTCCTGAGTAGCTGGGATTACAGGCACGCGCCACCATGCCCAGCTGATTTTTTGTATTTTTAGTAGAGACGGGGTTTCACCGTGTTGACCAGGATGGTCTCGATCTCCTGACCTCGTGATCCACCTGCCTCAGCCTCCCAAAGTGCTGGGATTACAGGCATGAGCCACTGCGCCCGGAGAGACGGGGTTTTCACCATGTTGACCAGGATGATCTCGATCTCTTGACCTCGTGATCCACCCGCCTCAGCTTCCCAAAGTGCTGGGATTACAGGCATGAGCCACCACGCCCGGCCTTTTTTTTTTTTTTTTTTTTTTTTGTCAGAGTCTCGCTCTGTTGCCAGGCTGGAGTGCAGTGGCACGATCTTGGCTCACTGTGACCACCCCCTCCTGGGTTCAAGTGGTTTTCCTGCCTCAGCCTCCTGAGTAGCTGGGACTACAGGTGCGCACCACCACGCCCAGCTAATTTTTTGTACTTTTAGTCGAGATGGGGTTTTACTATGTTGACCAGGATCGTCTCGATTCCTTGATCTCATGATCTGCTCACCTCGGCCTCCCAAAGTGCTGGGATTACAGGCATGAGCCACCTCGCCTGGCTTCCTTTTTTTTTTTTTTTTTTTTTCCTGAGATAGGAGTCTTGCTCTTGTTGTTCAGGCGGGAATGCAATCTCAGCTCACTGCAACCTCTGCTACCCAGGTTCAAGCAATTCTCCTGCCTAACCCTCCAGAGTAGCTGGGATTACAAGTGCCCACCACCACGCCTGGCTAATTTTTCTATTTTTAGTAGAGCCGAGGTTTCACCATCTAGGCCAGGCTGGTCTTGAACTCCTGACTTCATGATCCACCTGCCTCAGCCTCCCAAAGTGCTGGCATTACAGGCGTGAGCCACCTCACCCAGCCTTCTCTAATTGCCTTCTTTTGATTCAGGTGTCCTGCTACTCGACCACGATGGGGGCTTCTGGCTGGTCCACAGTGTACCCCAATTCCCTCCACCTGATGCATACAGCTGGCCTCAAAGTGCCCACACCTACGGGCAGACCCTGCTCTGTGTGTCTTTTCCCTTCAGCCAATTCTCAAAGATTGGTGAGTGGAGTCAGGGACACGGGGTGAGTCATGGGTTTCCTGAATAGAACCTGGAATGATCTCACATTTCCTCCTCCCCTTGTCCTCCAGGCAAGCAGCTGACCTACACCTACCCCTGGGTCTACAGCTACCAGCTGGAAGGGGTCTTTGCCCAGGAATTCCCAGACTTGAAGAATGTGACCGAGGGCCACCACATTGGCCAAGAACCATGGAACAGCAGCATCACACTCACATCCCGGGCCGGGGCTGTTTTCCAGAGCTTTGCCAAGTTCCGGAAATTTGGAGATGGTGAGCCCTGACGTTGAGGGGTGGAGAGCTTCTTCTCTGTAGAGTGGGTGTCTGGTGTGGCCATGGCTGAGTGCAAGTCAAGGGTAGAGACCGGGTCTGTTTGGGAGCCATAATCACATGAGAGTTGAACAGACCTGGGTTCAGACTCTGGGTTCTGGCTGTGTGATATAAATTTCACCTGAGCCTCAGTCTACTCATCTGAAAAATGGGGATACTGATATCTACTTAAAGGATTGTTGTGAATGAAGTGGGGCATATAAGGCATTTGGGCACCAGGGGTGGTGCCTCACTCTTGTAATCCCAGTTATCTGGGAAGCTGAGGCAGGAGGATTATTTGAGGACAGGAGTTCAGGATAAGCCTGGGCAACATAGCAAGACCCTATCTCCATAAAATTAAAAATTAGCCAGCCAATTTGGGAGGCTGAGGCAGAAGGATAAATTGAACCCAGAGTTTCAGGCTGCAGTGAGCTATGATGACTCCACCACAATCCAGCCTGGGTGACAGAGAAAGACCCTGTCTTTATTTAAAAATAAATAGGTCGGACGCAGTGGCTCATGCCTGTAAACCCAGCACTTTGGGAGGCTGAGGCCAGAGGATCACTTGAGCTCAGGAGTTTGAGAGCATCCTGGGCAACACAGTGGGACTTCATCTCTACAAAAAAAATTTTAATTAGCAGGTCATGGTGGCATAGTGGTGGGACGTGTAGTCTCCACTACTCAGGATGCTGAGGTGGAAGAATAGCTTGAGCCCAGGAGGTGGAGGCTGTAGTGGGTCATGATGGTGCCACTGCACTCCAGCTACGGCATCAGAATGAGACCCAATCTCAAAATAAATAAGTTAATTAATTAATTAAAAACATTTGGGGCCAGACGTGGTGGCTCATGCCTGTAATCCCAGCATTCTGGGTGGATCACTTAAGCCCAGGAGTTCAATACCAGCCTGGCCAACATGGTGAAACTCTGTCTTGGGCCAGACGTGGTGGCTCACGCCTGTAATCCAAGCACTCTGGAGGCCAAAGCGGGCGGATCACCTGAGGTCGGGAGTTCAAGACCAGCCTGAGCAACATGGTGAAACCCCGTATTAAAAAAAAGAAAAGAGCCGGGTGCAGTGGCTCAAGCCTGTAATCCCAGCACTTTGGGAGGCTGAGGCGGGTGGATCACGAGGTCAAGAGATCGAGACCATCCTGGTCAACATGGTGAAACCCTGTCTCTACTAAAAAATACAAAAAATTAGCTGGGCATGGTAGCGTGTGCCTGTAGTCCCAGCTTCTCTGGAGGTTGAGGCAGGAGAATTGCCTGAACCCAGGAGGCGGAGGTTGCAGTGAGCCGAGATCGCGCCATTGCACTCCAGCCTGGGTAAGAAAAGTGAAACTTCCGTCTCAAAAAAAAAAAAAGAAAGAAAAGAAAAGAAACCCTGTCTCTACTAAAAATACAAAAATTAGCTGGGCATGATGGTGGGTGCCTGTAACCCCAGCTACTCAAGAGAAGGCTTGAGGCAGGAGAATCACTTGAACCCGGGAAGTGGACATTACAGTGAGCCAAGATTGCACCACTGCACTCCAGGCCTGAGAGACAGAGCAAGACTCCGTCTCAAAAGAGAAATTTGGAAACTGAGTTGAGAGAGGGGAAGTGGTCTAGGGACTCCCTAGCTGTGGCCCTGACCCTATTGTGCCCTCTCTCCATCCTTTGCAGACCTATACTCTGGCTGGTTGGCAGCAGCCCTTGGTACCAACCTGCAGGTCCAGTTCTGGCAAAAGGGTACAGGCATCCTGCCCTCCAACTGCTCAGGGACCTGGCAGGTTCTGAATGTGAACCAGATAGCCTTCCCTGGACCAGCCAGCCCAAGTTTTAACAGCACAGAGGACCACTCCAAATGGTGCGTGTCCCCACTTGAGCCCTGGACCTGTGTGGGTGACATGAATCGAAACCAGGGAGAGGAGCAGCGGGGTGGGGGCACACTGTGTGCCCAGCTGCCAGCCCTCTGGAAGGCCTTCCAGCCCCTGGTAAAGAAATGGCAGCCCTGTAATAGCTGGTAAGATCTAAGCCTCATGACCAGGTGCAGTGACTCACGCATGTAATCACAGCACTTTGGAATCCCAGCTCAGCCCCTTCCCAGCTATAGGAACTTTGTGTGCCTTAACCACTCTGTGACACAGTCTACCTGTCCGCAAAATGAGAAACATAATACCTGCCATCAAGATTGTTGAGGAGTAAATAAATGGAGCCGGGCACGGGGGATCATGCCTGTAATCCCAACACTTTGGGAGGCCAAGGTGGGCGGATCATCTTAGGTCGGAATTTCGAGACCAGCCTGACCAACATGAAGAAACCCTGTCTCTACTAAAAAATACAAAATTAGCTGGGTGTAGTGGCACATGCTTATAATGCCAGCTACTCAGGAGGCTGAGGCAGAAGAATCTCTTGAACCTGGGAGGTAGAGGTTGTGGTGAGCCAAGATTGTGCCACTGCCCTCCAGACTGGGCAACGAGAGTGAAACTCCATCTCAAAATAAAACAATAATAATAATAAATAAATAAAAGGAAATTGGTGGATGAGATAGTTAACTTTTTCCTGGGGTGGGCTCTGGGACACAAGAGAATTGCAGCATCAGTTCTCCCCCTAAAGTTTTGGGGGGCAGTTGAAGAGGTGAGACCAGAAATGGGACCACAGGAGGTGTCTATCCAAAATTCTCTCCACTTTCCGTAATAACCAGAACTGGAGTCCCACCTCCAAAAATGCACCTGGGCATGGGGCTGGGGTCGTGTGATATCTCACCTTGCCTGGAGGGGAGTGAGCCCCAGAAAACTCACGAAGCACAGACGCACTTTATTTATATGTGTACATATGTATACAGGCAGCTGTACAGCGCGGGCCAACGCCCCCCTTGGCTAAGGGCCTGGGGGCGCGGGACTGGATACCCCTTTTTTGGTCAGGCCTGCTGGGGGCACAGCTTCAGCAGGGCACCGAGAGGCCAGCCCCACTTCAGGCTTGGTGCCCGGGCCCGAGAGAGAGGCCGGTGGGGCTGGGGTTACTGCACTGCTGGGTGCACTGCACTTTGCTGGGGCTAGGGAGGGTGTCTGGGGCTCCGGAGAGAGCTTGGGGGAGGCGGGCTTGGAGCGAGGCCCGCTCAGCGTGGTTCGCTCCTCCACCACCTCCAGCACCCAGCGCTCCCGGCCCCGGGGTACTTCTGGCACAGAAGGCGCCAGGGGTGTGGGTTCCTGTAACCCCTTGGAGTCCGCTCGCAGAGGCTGGGGCGCCTCAGCCTTAGCCCCAGGCCGCACAGGCTCTACGACAATGGGTACCGGGGGCGTGCCCGCCTCGCCAGAACTGCTGCGCCTGCCCGTCTCGTGTTCCTGCACTGGGCTCAGCGCCGCCTTGGCCACAGCCCTGGCCACTCCGCCAGTGCCATCCTCCGTCTGCACGCTCTGATGCCGCGTGCAGCCGACGTCCCGCTCCAGGGTCCGGCCCCCGGGGGTCGTCGCACGGGGCGGGGTGCAGGCCTCGGCGCCCCCTGGGGATTCCTTCTCCTTGCTTGACGCTGGCGGCCTGGAGGCACCCTCGGGCAGCAACGGGTCCGGGCCCATGCTTAAAGGTGACTCCTGTCTGCCCAGGCGGCGGACAGCGACCTGCCGGGGCGCACCATGGCCCTCGACAGGGGGCGTCTCGCCATCGGACTCGGCAAGGCTATGCAGTGCCAGCTCGCCGTGGAAGTCCTTGCGGAAATCCGGGTGGCCCACCTCGAGGCTGTGCTTGCGCAGCGCGCCCTTCTTGTCCGCACTCATGGAGGCTCCCAGCTTCTCCGCCGACTGCACGCGCTTGAGGAGCGGTGACCGAGGGGGCTCGGCACTCTTGGGGCGTGGGCGCACGATGGGAGGCGATGAGTGCAGTTTGGCTGGGAAGCTCTGCGTCGTGTGCGAGCTGCCCACCGTGTGGCCAGGCAGCGGCGGCGGTGACGCCTGCGTGGGGGACGGCGTGTGTGCCAGCGGCGACAGAGGGATGTTGCCGGCTGACTTGCATCGAGCAGAGCGGTACTGGCGGTGGAGCTTTGGCGACAGCCCGTGCAGCGTGCTGGGCCGAATGTGGTGCGACGCCGACGACGCGGGCGAGTTGGGCGTGCTCGAGGCTGGGGAGCTGCTCTGGGACGAGGCGCCTGCGGACGAGAACAGGTGGAGCAAGTGAGTATAGCCCGAGCACCACCCAGGCCACCCTGCGCCGCTCGGTCCCTGCGGAAGGTGCAGGAGCTAATACCTAGGTAGGCGGAGTCAGGCGTGGAGCGGTAGCTGTGCGTGGGTGAGCGCGCAGGCAGCCCGTGCGTGGGCGAGCCCGGGAGACTGTCGCTGGACGACAGCGAGCGATTCAGCGACGACAGAGAGCGGCTAGTATGCAGCAGGTTCGACTGCTTCGTGATCTTCCGGAACAGGGAGCTGCGCTTCTTGCTGCGAGACAGGGAGGGAGCCACGCATCCTTGACCTGGGAGCCAGAGCTCAGGGCTCTTCCCACTTCAGAGCCTCACAAACAGCGCCTGTGACCGCCCACCCCTTCTGGCCACTCCCTCTCAGCTACAACCCACCAATCAAGACAAAACTTCTTTTAGCTCAGTGCTGCTTGGCTCCTCCCACTATAGTCCCCACACACCCGCTTTGGTCTCTAGTAGTTCAAGCTAGAAACAACCATCCAAACAAAACCAACCTATTCCACCCTGCCACCTCTCTAGCTCCTCCCTCCTCCACTACAACCCACCTATCAAGATAGAACTTCCCGGAACCCAGTACTTCTTGGCTCCTCCCACTTCAGGCCCCGCCCAACGTTAGGCCACTCCCAATCCAGGCAACAAACACCCATCCAAACAAAACCAACCAACCCCTTTTTTTTTTTTTTTTTTTTTTTTTTTTTAAAGACAGTGTCTTGCTCTTCTCGCCCAGGCTGGAGAATGCAATGGCACGATCTCGGCTCACTGCAACCTCCGCCTCCTGGGTTCAAGCGATTCTCCTTCCTCAGCCTCCTCAGTAGCTGGGATTACAGATGCCCACCATCACACTCAGCTTATTTTTGTATTTTTAGTAGAGACGGGGTTTCACCATGTTGGCCAGGTGGGTCTCGAACTCCTGACCTCAGGTGATCCAACTGCCTTGGCCTCCCAAAGTGTGCTAGGATTACAGGCATGAGCCATCACGCCTGGCCTTTTTTTTTTTTTTTTTTTTTGAGATAGAGTTTTGCTCTTATCTCCCAGGCTAGAGTGCAATAGCACGATCTTGACTCACTGCAAACTCTCCCTTCCGGGTTCAAACGATTCTCGTGCCTCAGCCTCCGGAGTAGCCTCCTGAGCAGCTGGGATAAAAGAGTGAGCCACCACTTCCGGCTAAGTTTAGTATTTTTAGTAGAAATGGGGTTTCACATGTTAGGCTGGTCTCAAACTCCTGACCTCAGGTGATCCACCGACCTCGGCCTCCCAAAGTTCTGGGATTACAGGCGTGACCCACCTCTCCTGGCCAAAAGCCACCACTTCTGGTCCTGCCCACCCGTCTAGTTCCTCCGTCTTTCACTACAACCCAGCTATCAAGACAGAACTTCCCTTAGCCCAGTGCTGCTTGGCTCCTCCCTCCTCCCACTTCAGGCCCCGCCCAACATTTTGGCCACTCCCAGTCCAGGCTAGAAACACATCCAAACAAAACGAACCTGGTTCCACCCGCCTCTAGTCCCCCTCTTCCACTACAACCCACCTATAAGTGAGGGGAGAAATGTACTTAACTCAGCCACGTCTGGCTCTTCTCACCCAAATCCCTGTACTTGTTTGTGCCAAACTCACTGATCAAAACAGAACAGTTTTCTGGCCCCACCCACCTTCCTCCTAGGTCCTCCTATCTATAAGGGAAAATAGGATTTCAGTTGGCTGCATCTTGCCTGGCATATTCATTCCAGATACATATTTCTTATTCTGAGTCTCTCCCAGTTCAGTCTAAACACATCTAACAGGATAGGACGATCTCCTGGACCCCCTCCGTCTTTGGACATCTTTCTTTCCAGGTCGCATCTGCTGGGCCTGCTTACACGTGCAAGACGCTCCTACAATGCATTTCTCTGATCCTAGAAACCTGGCACAGCTTCTGTTCTTGGCTCCTCCCACTTTTACAGCCCCTTCCCTTTTTTTTTTTTTTTTTTTTTTTTTTTTTTTTGAGATGAAGTCTTGCTCTGTTGCCCAGGCTGGAGTTCAATGGCATAGTCTTGGCTCACTGTAACCTCCGCCTCCTGGGTTCAAGCAATTCTCCTGCCTCAGCCTCCTGAGTAGCTGGGATTACAGGCACGCACCACCATGCCCAGCTAATGTTTTGTATTTTTAGTAGAGACGGGGTTTCACCATGTTGACCAGGATGGTCTCGATCTCTCGACGTCATGATCCGCCCGCCTCAGCCTCCCAAAGAGCTGGGATTACAGGCTTGAGCCACCGTGCCCGGCTTTTTTTTTTTTTTTTTTTTTGAGACAGAGTCTGGCTCTGTCGTCCAGGCTGGACTGCAGTGGTGAGATCAGAGCTCACTGCAGCCTTGACCGCCTGGGACTCAAGTGATCCTCCCACCTCAGCCTCCCAGTAGCTGGGACCACAGGCATGTGCTACTGAGCCCAGCTAGTTTTTAAAACTTTTTGTAGAGATGGGGACTCCCTATGTTGCCCAGGCTAATGGCGACTCCTGGGCTCAAGTGATCCTTCTGCCTCAGCCTCCTAAACCGCTGCGATTACAGGTGTGAGTCATCCTAGCCCCTCTTGCCTGTCCTCTTCACTTTGATTGTCGGTCTATTGTTCCCACCACCTTTCCCGTGCTCTTCCCTGCGCTGACCTCATCTGTGCCCCTCCCACCTGAGTTCCACTCGCTCCTCCTGTTTACAGCTGTGCCAACCTTTCCTGGCCCTCTTTGGCAGAGGGCCGCTTGTTCCTCCGAGCCATTTTGGCCTTGTAGCTGCTGCGCCTTGCAGGGCCGATTCGGATAGAGGTATTTTCGAAGGGCGTTGTGGTCACTGCTACCTTGTTGCCACTCTGGGGGAAGAAAGGGGGAAAATGCCCTGCTGGGGGCTGCTCAGGCCTGCCCCACCCTCCGCCCAGAGTGCCTCTTTCCCTGCGCTCACCTTAAGGATCAGCTCCACAACCTCAGGATGCACCATGCCATGCACAGGCTCCCCATTCACGTGGGTGATGAGATCTCCAGCACAGAGTCCTGCTTCCTGGGCTGGGCCTCCTTCCTCCACGTGCTGGGGAAAGAGCACCCCACAGGGGCAGGGTTAGTGGGACTGGTAACAAG